CCCCAAAACCCCAAAACCCCAAAACCCCAAAACCCCAAAACCCCAAATATCGCAAGAGTAGTTGAAATATTGAGAAATCAATATGGTTTAGCTTATTCCTGTATGAACGTCCATTTCTGTATCTTCTTTCCGTCTGATCTTTTAAGCTTTTTGTTCTATGGTAAATTTAGCACAAATTCTGATTGCCTATTGAAATATTAAGCTTACCAGTAAGCTGTTTTTAAGATTTTCGTTAAATGTCTCTAAATATTTTTGTTCTTTTGGGCTAAGTGATGTTTCCATCTCCAAGTTCGATTTCTTGAGATATGGAATATATGGATGAAGTTCTTTAGCCTCTATCTGCTCTAATGTGATACCTTTAAACCATGGATGAGCAAGAACATCCCCAGCTCCAGTCTCATTCGTAAGATGAGGCATATTTCCAAGTCTTTTGCTTGGGTTTCTATAAAATAATTGATGAGAACTTACTTTCATAAGAGTTTATGTAAGAGGTCCTTACACTCGTCAGAACATTTCACTGGGATTTCAAGTTTAGATCTGAGAATCCCCCTGTGCACTTTTGAGATATCTGATTGGAAGAATGGAGGAATTCCCACTACCATTTCGTAAAGGATCACTCCAACTAAATACCAATCTATTGCTCTACCATATGAGATAGCTGACAATACTTCTGGTGCCATATAAGCCGGAGTCCCGCAGTAAGACTTTGTCCTTTGGAGAGAAGTGGCTATTCCAGTTTTACAAAGGTTGAAGTCAATCAATTTTATGTGACCGTCACTATCAAGCATTATATTGTTAGGTTTTAAATCTCTGTGAATGACTCCATTTTTATGTAATGCATGAATTGCAGCGACTATTTCAGAAAGATAAAATCTGGCTTTATCTTCACTGAAAGAAGACTCTTTGTCTAGATAAGTTCAAATATCTTGCCCAGGGCAATAATCCATGAGGAGGTATCAGTGAGATTTAGTCTGGAAGCTTAGCTTGAGTGAAACAACAAAGTCACTCTTTACTTCTTGCAATATTTTTCTCTCTGTTACTGCATACCTAATCAGATCTTTATTTTTAAGCTTCTTTTTATCAATGACCTTGAGGGCATAAGTCTCTTGCGTTTTCATGCTCTTACACAGAAAAACTCTAGCGAAAGTTCCTGAGCCTATTTTTTTCATGACCTGGAGATCTTCAGGAAGAACAGTCTTTAGGTCTCTATAGTAAGCGTCTTCTTCCTCTTCATCGAGGGTTTCATGCATTTGTTTCCTATCGACTGGCATTTCAAGAGGGCAGTCTTCCTTATAGTAGTTCTCTAGAACTGTTTTGACTTTCTGGGTGTCTGAAGAATTCGTGCTGTCTTCGTTCTTTATAAGTTCAATGTTCTTGGCTGTTCTGAGCATCTTCTCAGCCTGCTTTACACTTTCAGTGAAAGTACATTCTATTTGGTAATCTACTGGGCTCTTCTTTCAGGAGAAAGAAGGGTTCATCCTTGAAGAACTCCTTTTGGAACCTTTCGCGGAGAAGGGAGTGGTGCTGTCTTGGGGAGTGTGGATTAGAGTGTAACGCTCTACAGAGTTAGCAAACAAGATTACTAGTTGATATCTTCTTTTGCTTTTTAATTGATGTGTTGAGGTATAGATTTTGGGAAGACTTTCAGTCACGCTTTATACTTCTACTTAATTTCCTCTGAAGAGAGGATGGCTTAATTGATTTCCTCTTTTTGGTATAAACCACTTTTCATTTGAGAGGCTCAGAAGCTCTAGTAGTTGCTGGAGCAAGATCCAATTTGATTAATTTTTGAAAGCTCGATATATTCGTAAATGGATCCTTTTGTGGGAATCTATTTTTATCATTCTTGATTTCTCAAATAGGAGCAGAATCTTCAGCCATAAAAGTTTGCAGTCCTTCATGCTGTTTAGCCTTAAGGGTCGGTTTATTTAAATCTACACAAAATTAATTTCGAGGCAGTTAGGCAAAAATCTTACCCATTGATCTCAATCTTTCAGCGATTGTGCATGACATCTTTCCCTCGTAGATGGCTTTTGAAGTTCTATTGTGATCAGTTAATTAATGACATATAAATTATCTTTGAAGTGACTAAATTTACTCATAAAATAACCGCCTTATTGTTAAATAAATTTGAGAGAGTAGTAGCCTCTTTGGTGGCTTCACGAAATCCTTAAATTTTCCATACTTATAAGTCAGCGCTGTTTTATGAGAAACAGTAGGATTCTTCTTTCCACGCTTAGAGCTCATTTTATCCTTCTTACGTATATTCTCTGGCTTTGCCTTCATAGGAGAGTGCTACAGGTTACTGAGATAAATACCTTAGCACTCATTTTCCTCTCTGTAAGAAGTGTATGGCTCTTTTTAACCAAAGTTTGAGTATTCGCCATAGAATCTTTGGTTTTTAATTGATGTTTGTTTTCTTGATGCCTGAAATGATCCAAAACTTTCTCTATAAAGTAAATACACTATCTCTTACCAGAGGTTTTGTTGAGGAACATGCTTCTATCCTGAACTTTAGAAGACTTATTTATCTTTTTGGCCCACTCTAAAGTCTTTTGCATGTGATGATCATTGTTTCCCAAGCTCAGTCTCTTCTTATTTATACTCAGATTTTTAGCTAGTAAATATTAGGAAGAGGAAAAATAAAAGTGATAATAATTCAAAAAGTGGCTTATAGCAATCAGATCCATATAAAATTTGCTGAAAAGTCCTGAATAAAGTCTCTAGTAAACTTTATGTGTAATTAAAGATGTAAAATGCCGATGCGTCTAAATATCAGTTTATCAAGCCACCAGAAATCAACTTATTTCTGATAAAATGTTTGCTCAGAGCTTACCATTTTTAGTATAATTTAAATAATCAAACTTGGTTTCAGAAACCTTATCTCTTGATTTCTTGGTCCTTTCTCTCTTAAAGCTTCTCATTGAAACCTTAATGTCAGGGCAATGAGTGAACTTTCCTATAAGAAATAAGTATTGAAGTTATCGTATAGGACAATATTAGGGATTCTGAGAATTATTAAGGTGAACCAAACTTTTTATCTGCAACAATTTTGCATATTTTTAAATTATTTATGCCAAGCGAAGGGGAGTTTATGTACAGAAGAAAGTACAGAGATAAGCATCCTTCAAATATAGATATGAAGAGTTAAGTATTACATTTAATAAACAGTTAAAGTTTTCTTTAAGAATAGAATTCAATCAGGCAGGATTAGGAACCTCGTAAAGATGTTCAGAAACAAGTATTCATAGAATTATTTTTAAATCCAAAAGAAATACAGCTGACAAGCAGTAATCTTTGCTTAATGAGTATGAAGAATGGATGCTTGAGTATTACTTACTTTTTAAGGACTCTTTCCCATTGGCCATCGATTTCCTTTTGGTTCCTAGATAACATCAATTTTAGATGTGAAACAAACTCCAAGCTTCACATAAAAATTCATAATGGATTTTGATAGCCCTTCATAACCAATTTATTGAGGAAACCTTTCTAAAAATAACTCTTCGTGCTCAATGAAGTAAGATTTTTGAGAAAATATGAGTAAGACTTTGACCTACTTTTCATTTCTTTTAAACTGCTTTAGTCTATTAAATTTATTAAGTTAGTTTCAGTCCCCTCTATAAGTATTGGGGTTTTGGGGTTTTGGGGTTTTGGGG